CTGCTCTTGCAGGTAGAAAACCCGGGTTGGTTCCCAGTGTGCACACAGGGGGTGGGGGTGGGAATTGTTTAGCAACCGGCTGTAAATCGGAGAAAACTTTGCTCCCCTTCTGGCCACCTCAGGCACTGGCACTCATGTGCAGAGCAGTCCTCCACCTCCCCTCAAACACACACACAAAGGCATAAATAAGAATAAAGCAGCTGGGGCTGGAGAAATGGATTAGAGGTTAATAGTGCTTTCCCAGAGGTCCTGAGTTCAATTCCCAGCAACCACATGGAGGCTCAAAACCATCTACAATGAGATCTGGTGCCCTCTTCAAGTGTAGGCAGAACACTGTTACATAATTAAAACAACAACAACAAAGCCCAAAACACTAAAACAGCTGTTCGGGTGTGACCCAGCCCTTGGGAAGCAGAGGCAGGAGGAACTCTGTGAATTGAAGGCCAGCCTGATCTACAAAGTGAGTTCCAGGACAGACAGGGCTACACTGAGAAGTTCTGTCTGGAAAAAAAAAAAAAAAACCCAAAAAAATAATAATAAAAACAAAACAGATATTAACAATCAGGGAAAAAGGGCTGAGGATGAAGATGTTAAAATGGTCCCTGAAACTCACATAATGGAACAGGAGAACCTACATCTGTAAGCTGCTCTGTAATCTTTACACAAACATTGGCACACATATACACATTCACATGCTTATGTGTATACACAACAAGTAAGTAAATAAATATAGAGTTCTTGCCTAAATAAATAAATTAATTAAGATAGAGTTGTACCCTAGTATGTATATGAAGTCGTGGGTTTGATCCACAGCATTACAAACTGAAAAAAATGTACCACACACAACACACAAGTATTGGTTTTGGTTGTTACTGTTTGTTGATTTTCTCAGCCTAGAAAATCAGTATCTGGCACCAGCATTTTATTTCTGAGGAGGTAGGGGTGGAAGGAGATACAAGCTGAACATAGTTGGGGCCACATGAATCCTAGGGTCTTGGGTGTGCTGGGCCTTCAGAAGGGCCTAAGCTAGGATATCGCCTGAGAGGAGAATATACACCCTCCACGGCTCAAAATAGCTCTCAGTAACCTGAGGAATGGCAGTCACGTGCAGAGGCCTGGCTCAGGAGTGGGGAGGAGAGCACAGGCTGACTCTCTGGGCAGATGGGAAGAGGAAGGAAGGACTGGAGGCTATTCTCTAACATTATGTATAACAAGAAAGAGGATTTTCCAGGAAAGAAATGAATGGTTTTGTAACACTGATACATCTGGAGTGAAGTCAGGTGAGAGGGTGAAGCCCCTGCAGTTAGTCCTGAATTCAACTTCTGGACTGATGTTTGTAGAGCTGGGGGTGGTGACACACACCTGTAATCCAAGGCCTTGGGAGGTAGAGGTAGCAGGGTCAGGAGTTCAAGGTCAGCCTTGGCTATGTGTTCAGGTCAGCTCAGACCACTAAGACCTGGTCTTAAAACTCAGTAATGGTTGGGGGTGGAGGCTCAGCATTTAGGAGCACTGGCTGCTTTTCTAGAGGACCTGGGTTCAATCCCCAGTACCTACACAGAGGCTCACAGCCTCTGAGTGCACAAAGCACACATGTGAAACACAGACATACATTTGGGAAAAACACCCATACACATAATTAAAAATAATAAATTGGGAGCTGGGCTTCATGGCACACCAAAAAAAGCTTAAAACAAATAATAAATTGGGTAACTCCCGACTCTCTTTCTCTGTCTTTGCTTTACTCCCTCCTTCCTTCTCTCTCCTTTTCCTCCCACCCCACCCAGGCCTCAAACTGGGCTCAAATTCATCCTGAGTTCTGAGATCCCAGGTTTGCAGAACCAAGCCTGACTTGCCTGTCTTTCTTCTATTTCTTCTTCTTCTTCTTCTTCTTCTTCTTCTTCTTCTTCTTCTTCTT